AACTATATTATAACTTATTTGATTAGATAAGGGTAGTAAAGACTTACCTAAAATCGCTTTTACTTGATCGGAAAAGAGTATTAAAGACATACTGCAAACGCCTTTATTTGGTCGGAAAAGGGTCAGGCCTACCCAACTACCAGACTTGGCACCTAAGGATCCTGAATTGACCGGTATATCGGACCACACTACCCGTTTTCAAGGTGTGTGTCAGATCGCATTTCGGAGTATCATACCCCAGAACAAATTTTGCAGCACGACTGCGGGCTAATCCACGCTTGGCTGAACAAACTTAAACTAGACTCTTACTTTAGAGTACTCTATTTTATTGTCTCTATGGGGATATATGGGGACTTTACGATATTCGGTTTGAATGTTTTAACCACTTTTGATAGGGCTTTTTTGCATTGTATTAGATTAATGTGGTAGTCTAAGGTTCATCTAGGTGGCTTTCAAATTTATGCACCCGGTTTTAAAATCATATAGCGATTTTACGACAATCGTTTACTATCCAATCAAGGTGACAGCCGAGCATGCCAGGGCTCATCCTGTCGGTGTTCTGGCTGATACTCCGAAATGCGATCTGACACACACCTTGAAAACGGGAAGCGTGGTCCGATTTACCGGTTAATTCAGGATCCTTAGGTGCCGAGTCTTGTAGTTGGGTAGGCCTGAGGGTTATAATGACGTACCTCATATCATATTTACTTCATCGGAAAAGGGTTATAAAGACGTGTCAAAAATCGCCTATACTTTATCGGAAAGACGTAGTAATAGTGCAACTACAATTTTAAGCTAGGCATAAAAGGGTAGTAAACCCGTAGACCCTGACCTTTCCGGTAGAGCTTTACGCCGTTGAAAAGGCTTGTAAAGAAAATATTCAGACCCATTTCCTGAAGAGTAAAAGAGCTGAAAATTGACTTTTTGTGCTGTGGTTATTGGTACTGCTAGATTTGTCTGCTGCCTTTGACACAGTAGACCATTATATTTTATTGACATTTTAGAGCAGAGTGTAGGGATTAGAGAAAAGGTCTTAGATCTTTTACGATAATATCTTGTTGGGATAATGCATCAAGTTAATAAAAATGGTGTGCTTTCTGAACTCTCACAGCTTTTATTTGGTGTTCCTTAGGGTAGCGTTCTGTGTTTACCCGTTACCCCTTAGAGCAACTCTGCGTTATCATAAGCTAGGTTACCACCTATATGCAGATGATACCCAGTTGTACACATCTTGTAACATCCATGATCCAGCATTGTCTGTGAACACCAATGTTGACTGCATATCAGATACCAGAGGTTCAGATGCAGAAGTTCGTACTTTGAAGTAACGTTTAACTGCGGGCTGAAATGAGGGACTTTTTTTATCGTCGACACAATCGATAATGACGTGTTTACTGCTTTCAGTTAATGCTGGCTGATTGCCAACGGAAAGTTACTCGGTAATACGAGCAGGGACGTATCAAGCATCTTTTATAAAGGATCTTTAGAACCTTTAGCTTTATTTGAGTACAAGAAGGAGCTACAGTGAATGTCAGCTGGATACAAAAATACAATCAGTAATCACATTAGAAATCTTTCAAATCAGTAGCTATAATTGGAGACATATATGTAACAGCTTGTTTTGTTAAAATTGTACATTGTACTTTGAACGAATAAAATGTTAGATTTTAACTATAATAATTTGTTACTCAATACAAACGCACAAGTGAGATGGTCATCGGATATTCTTATTTTAAACTCATATTTAAGGTTCTACCCCAAACACAAAATTATTGAAAAAAAGCGTTAAATCATTGTTGACTCACTTTGTCTTTTGCTTCTCCGCGATGCGGGAAGTTTATTGAAAAAGGAGGATTTTCACTACAGTTCTGTTCGTGCACATATGCTATTTATACTTAAGAATACTGCAGCACAGCTGTGTATAATAGGAGGTAAGCATTTGCAAGTAAACATATAGTATACACATATAGCAGTCTGTCCGCAGATTTCGAGCTGCGCGTGCACACTGTCTGAAGCGACGGCCATTTTCGCACTACTTTCAGCAAAATCGAGTGAAAATGGACGACTTTTGAGCTCTTCGTATTTTCATGTGTATTTTTGTCAACAGTTGATGTGATTAAACGATAGATATATAAAAAGAAGCGGGGATATCTAGGGATTCGCTATTTTCAGGTTAGTTGTCATAAAACATAGATTCAGAACGGTAAAATGGAAGATTTATCCACGCGGGTGATCGCAAATGGTGTCCCGTTTTAGGTGTCCGCAATTTTCTATGTAAAGATTTCTATAAGAAGTTTAAATTGTACAAATTTTTAAAAACTAAATCATGAAAGCTGGTTAAACTCGCTTTCTGGCGGTATATATATTTTGTAAATTCAGCTTTGTCCATTTTTGTAAGCGCGAGGTGAACGCCACGCCAAGCACTTGCATTTTTGAAGCGTATAACATTGGGACGTTTAAATTATAACAAAATTGCTATAATGTTTATATCACCAGCGTTTTATATAAATTCTAAAAGCTAAACAAGTGGGCTTCGTGTTGATATGAAATATATGTTGCATTCGGCTCCATCTGGCTGGCAAAGTGTTGATAATCCCGTGAAGTCGGTGTAAAAGTTGGCAAAACCGATTTTTTCAAGTGCAGTAGGTTACTGTGACTATGTATCGCAGGAAACGCGAAATATTTTCAAACATTTATATTCTCCAGAAAGACGAAATCATAAACTTTCAAATGATATATCATAAGGTATGTCTCCTACAATTTTTACCCATTTTGTGTGGGGAAATTAGTGCATCTCCAAAACGACGACAAAAATGGTACCCCATTTTCATCATAATTTATAGAGTCACGTGACCAACCTGAAGCACTGGCCCGACTTAGCAAGACTACAAGTTTTCTTAAATATTCTGAATATCAGAGCAAACAAGTCGCATTAAAATTAAAATACGAACAAGTGCTGTACATTTAACATCAGGAATATTCCAAGAGTTATATACTCATTCTTAAAACATCAAAATGGTATAATAGTTATGATCCAATCCACAAGAAATACAGTGTGAATTTTGACCAATATAGAAAGATATTGCTAGATCTAGTTATAAATAAAACAAGATTTTTTAATTGAATAAATATTTACAAAGAAGTACTGGCCTATGACCAGGTTGTACTTTTTAAAGCCTGAAATGGTTTTGATAAAAAAAAATCATTCAACACCAGTTTAATCATTATATTTAGATCTGCACTTCTGCCTTGTTCTCTTATTTTACTGCTCAAGATTTATTTCTATTTACTAGTACTATTTTTATCTCTTACATATTAAACTATTTAAAATAAGACCCTTCCAATTATAATTAAAAAAAAAAAATATTCCTAATCTATTTAACCCTCAAGAGACCAAGCTATTTTACTGACTGAAATGACCAAGTGGGGTCATCTATGACCCCATTGTGCTCTGTACAGGGATCCTTATTATAAAAGGCTGTTGAGGCTTTATCACACCCATACTACTCCCAGNGACGACCCATCAGAGGCAATTTGTCTCTTGATCCAGTGTTTCTATACCGAGACCAGACCCTCTGCACGGTTCTGACTGAACAATTCAATTGTATCGATATTCTGACATTGCTTATATTCCGCCTCTTCAGGTTAACAACTTGCACCTATAACCGTTAGATAATTGCCTGTATCGTGCCATATTGGAGGAAGACAGGAATAACATTTGCTGTACATGTACAAGACCAACAATACAATTCAATGGTATAGCGGTTTTATACTCATTAGTCACATTATAAGTAGACCAGGCATTATAAATACCCAAGATCTGCCCACTTTTATTACTCTGAGTTAGGGGGTGACACTCCTTTTGTCCAGTGTGTGTATGTAGGCCTACTTGAGGATTTTATGGTAAAAGGACCACTTTTTCAGAAAACAAACCCCCCTCTGAAATTGCTGGCTACGGACCTGCCTACACTCTGTACATTTTAAATTGTTATCCTCTCTGCTGAGATACAGAGATGAAATCTGGGAAGATATCGAATGGCAAGTCCTAGCACGGGGAAGAGAAGTGGGGGTAGTGGCAGAGGGGGAGGGGGAGGTATCAGGATTAAAACAAAAAAGGAAAGCTGGCGGCAGAAAGCTGGGATGTGCCTGACTTTTCAGTGCGCAGAATCATCAACCTTATCATCAAAAGGATGTGACTCTAAGGACTAACAAGTTTTCCATTCGCATTAATCCTGGATATAAGATAGATGTCTTGATATCTTATTGGATATTGTCTACAACGATGTACATGTTGTAGGCTATGATCTGTTTGGCTTTGCACGCGTACAAGTGATGATGATAATTTACAGTAACATGATATTTGAAAAAAATTAAAACATTTAATGATAGCCCGAGTTATTCCAGTCATTGTTCTCAATGTGTAGGAAATTTTAAATTGACCAGTATCAAGCCGTAATAGTTGAATGTACCGTGTTTTTGAGTAAAACATGATAACCAGTAAAATCATCGAAGGGACGAAGAACGCTCTCATCGTATATTGTATATTGTACTTTCTGAAAACAGATTATATCTGATAAAACATCGATGCCTATCACATCTCACCTTTTTTTCCGACACATAGAAAATTTATTCACCAGGTTCTATTTCTTCAACTTGAATGATAACCAAGAGTATGGCGTTATCAAAAATGTAATTGTCGCGATATCCTACCTGTCACCTGTAGCAGATGACTCCAGTGTTATCGTACAATCAACGAAAATTAGCACCTTATTCAAGTTGAAGTAGCTGACGTGAATCCCATCCAAAATTCAAATCCAGATTAATGTTATCAACATCAGCATAATCTGACAATAAGAAGATAAAAATAAACAAAAGCAATTTATCGGAAGTGAAGTGAATTGTATGATCACAAAAATTCATGAGACCATCCTTTCTTTTAATAAATACTCTACGGGCGAAATTTATCAGGTTACGCTGCCGAGACTGCATATCATTAAACTCATTAGCACCAACTAGGAGGAAGTCACACAGGTCATAATCGCAGGCATATTTGTTACCTGATTGGGTTGCAGCTATACTAATAATGTAGGTCTACTGAAGCTGACTTTAATAGTGGATATTTCGATATTTAGCACTATTTTACATCTTTTTTATGCCCGAGAAAAAATAATCTATAAATAGAAATACAAGCGGAGAAATCGTTTGTGTGTTTGCGTTTTTGGTCAAGGTTACAAGTGGACCCATGGGCCTAAAAGAAGAATAGATAGGTCGTATTTTATGTATATAAATAAAGGCGTCTGAAAATGGGGAAATCTTCAATCTGTTACCTATTCAGTGACCATCAGCGCTCAGTAAAAAAGTTGTAGACTCCTGTGAAGTCTGGCATTGGTACTAAAGGCTTTAATAATCAACATAAGTGAGAGTTAATGTTTTTAAATCGACATTTCCTTTGGATCGGGGGGGGGAAGACCCGGTGTCATGGCAGGACAGTTGATTGTGAATGATCATTTTAAGGAATGGGGTCTAAGTGTGCAAGTGTTCAAGCAGTAACAACCAATGTTAATGATAGAAAAAATTATTTTCAGGCAAGGGAGGACGACCGCAGTTGATTTACGCAAAGCAGTAGAGAAAGCAGCTATTATGACACCTGATGTAAGAGAGAGTTAAGAAACATTATGGTCTTCATGGGGGGGGGGGACAGACCCGGTGTCATGGCAGGGCAGTTGATTGTGAATAATAGTTTCAAGCGCCACATACTCCGCTGCTTGAATCGTACCTGTATTCTGCGTAGGGAGTTGAGATCGCTTCAAGATTGAACAAATCCAAGACTAGGCATACATTTGTAAAGCTGTCTTTTCTTGTTTATCGAAGATATCAGACTAGAAACCCAATCCAGCCGTTACATTTACTTTAAAAATATAAAAATTCAAGTTGCAGTGTTTGAATCTCACTAGATATAGGAGAAAACGCACTTGTAGTTAGACGCAGCAAACCCTTAACTGAATCATGTGTATGAAGACTAATGACTTATTAATAATCTCTAGCGCGAAAAATACAAAACGCTATCTGGGTCTTTTCATTCCCCTCGATACTGTTGCCATGCTGATTCCTAATGCTTTACATTGCTGTTTACTTTTATAGCAGTCACTAGTATTTTGAATATTTTCTCTGGAGACAGACCTTGGCGGTGAAGACGTCGTGAAACAAAAACAGTGAAGGTAGGGCCTACAGCTCTCTCTCTCTCTCTCTCTCTCTCTCTCTCTCTCTCTCAGACACGCACACACACGCACACATACTCACACGCACAAGCACACACACACACTGTGATTCGCACGCGCGCACACGCCCGCGCAACCTTCTTAGACCTTGTCGTGTGCATGTTTATTTTAAAATTGTATACTTTTTGGTTTTTTAGTGAAAAGAAAAAATAGAACAATGGAAGACAGTGAGTTTAATGACTCCTACTATTCAAATGCGAAATCCTACCTGCTGACTTGTAGTACTGACACAGGAGCTAACTTGTGAGTATCACACGTACATCATATCAACATGTAATAACCCAGTGTTTTTGCTTGTACATCTGTCATCTATAAGAAATAATTGTGTGTGTTCACATCATTCTGTGGCAGTTTATACATAATGTCCACCGTTAAATAGGTTGTGCTGAGGTTGCTATAACAGATTCGCTGAGAGTTGATATTACCGGTAGCATTCTAAAACCGAGAATGGAGATTCGAGAGGATTTTTTTATTTATTGAAAGGAAATAAAAAAGACTCATTTAAATATGTAGATAATATCAATCATTGATACATTGGCAATACAAATGTTCTTAAATTTGCCATGTTTTTTGCTTATCAATCACACAACATAACTAGACAAAAAATCCCATTTACTTTTCAAAAGTCACTTCCTCCTAAATATAATGGTAAACAGTTCTGTCGGTCCCTTAGAGGAACGCTCACTGTCAGTTTATATCACATATTTCAGGTATGATCACTTAAGTCAACTTCTCACCAAGATTCTGATAGGCACTCCCGCAGACCCCCTGGCAACGTTAGAAGACGACAGCCGGGACGCTAAGAAGTGCCGAGTGACATCTGACCCCCAGCAGTTGAGAGACCAGTGGCATTTTGATCATAAGTGGAACCTGGCTTCTAAACAAATTAACTTGTTCCAAAAGGTAAAACACTACTGGGAAAGTGTTGGCCAGCATTTTAATATACATGTATCTACCGCGAGGAATGAAAGAATTTACATGCGATAAAACAATTTTACACTGTATAGTATTGCTAGTGTGCTACATGCAGTTTATTTTCCTTAAGTTCAGTTTGTTTTGTTTTTGAACTTCTTTCTTTAAACCGTCTTTTTCTGTCTTTTAGCAATTTCACTTTTTCTATTTACTTATTTGCGTATTTATTGTTGCACTGTATTAAAACATTATAATGCTTTTTATAATGAAATGTGTGAACCCCCGACTTTCCTCTAGTTATCTCTGTTATCATCTCTATGGTTAGTGTTCACTGATCAGGGACGTAATAAAAATAGTCAAAATTATCCTACAAAATGCAATCCTTCATTCTAACCGAGAGGGAAAACTATTGACATTATGAGGAAAAAGCGCTCTCCTCCTCAAACATAACATTTCTTCCTTGATTAAAACATTTACATTGTGGATAATCCTATCGAGAAGATTAATCAGTTCGAACTCTTCAGTACTTCATTAGAATTCTTTCTCACTCATGCGGAAAAAAGGAAAAAAAGCGAATTTCAGTGTCTAGTCACAGAAATATTCCCTTTTCCTTTTTTATGTAACACTATTTTTTTTTTTAAGTTACAGTTAACAGATTAAGTCTGGCAGTAGGAGGACTGTAGGCTCCTAATTGTTTTTCTCTATTCCTCTCTCTCTCTCTCTTTGTTAAATTGCCTCACATTATTGTTTATATCACCAGCATGATCACAAACCTAGTACCCCTGAAAGTGAAGATGAAGACATTCTCCCCAATCTGATGCGGATTGCCCATTACTTCGAGCTATCGGGAGAGGGAATACAGCGAGAGGAAATGTTCCGAATATGGCTTGCTATGAACCAGCTTTTGTCCTCGGACCTCTACCCCATAGAAAACATTCGCCTTTGGGGGAAAGTGCTTGGGACCCGCAGGAACTATATAGTCCTGGAGGCAGAGCTGTCGGAGACAGAAGACGAAGAAACAAATTTTGAACAGGTGGGTCGGTGAATGACGCGTTAAGGAACATATTTGTTTCTATATTGTTTCAGCGTTTTAGCACCTACTTGAATTCACTGCATTCCCTCCTCTGTATCAATTTATAAAGGAATTATTTTGATGTATTTCAATTAATAGCTTACATGTACATCATCGTATATTCTTGTCTCTGTTCAGACGTCAACTCCATTGAACTCTCCAGTGAACGGCCAGGGCGGCCCACAGGACACAGAGTCAGGTACAGGTTCCCGTTGCTTTCTAACTCCTATTTACTTATATTCTTTTTTTCATATATTGACTTTTATGTGTTTTTTCTATTAATTTATCAATTTTGCAAAGGTAATTACCTTTTTCCCAACAATTTCTTTTCGTGATGTTTATAAATGCTACCGGTCGTGTAGCTGTACTAGTTCTAATGTACGCATGTGGATAAACAGTTGTGTGATTATGATTCGTTGATTCGTTGCCCTCTTCCACATACATACAGCTAGAACACACAAAATAATATATACATAAATACTCTTTAGAATACTGATGCCCGGTAGGTGTACCAATGCATTTGCCACTCTGGTTATAGGCCTATGGTCTCATGACATTGAATTTCTCGGTGAAATTGTCATGCACAACATAATTGTAAAATCTCACTGTTTGATACTTCATATTCAAAACTTGTAGTCATGGTTCCCTGTCTTCTATTGAAGATATAGACTCGGATGTGATACCTACCACGATCTACAGACCCCCTCCTGTAATCCCAGCAGAGCAGAGTGGAACTGGAGTCAACAAGAAGACGTATTTTGTGTGCAACGAGCGTACGTATTGTAAACGTTTTGTTTTGTACGATAAAAACGCGTGGGTATTGTTTTTGTAACTTGTTATATTACATCGTCGTGCTAATGAAGGAAGCAAATAAAAGTACTACTGCAATTAATTTTACGATGGTGGTTACAAACCTCAATTATACTGTAGAATACAAGTGCGTCAGTATGAATATCAAAGATATTAATGCTTTCAACAATTTCCCAAAATCATATCTTCTATGTCTACATATTCTGCAAAGCTACTTATCGGTCTTAATTAAGACCTTAAATGCTATTTTTAAAAACAAAATAAAATTATTTGATGTCAATATTTCTTTCTGAAATTGACGGGAAGATGGCCATGATAGTCAAAATGACCAGTTAGAACAGGGAATTATATCCGATATAATTACCTGGTTATAACTAAATTAATTCTGTGGCATAAAACATTGAATAAATGCGCAGCGACATGTCGAGTTATGATGCGTGAGGAGGAGAAAGTTGATCTTAACAATAGAAATTCGATTTGGCGGGGAAACCTCAGATAGGACAGAAAAACCAATAGCTAAATACACTAATAGCTAATGGCTTAAGTCTATGGCGGGTAATTATGCAAAATAACATTTAGATGACTAGATTTCCAAAGGGTTAAAATTTTTGGGTTTTCATTATATTAACTTTGTTTTATTTATAGCTGGAGAGGAGTGGATCAGACTCCCTGACGTCACACCGGCCCAGATCGTCTGCGCGAGGCAAATCAAGAAGTTTCTTTCTGGCGATGTGAACGCCTTGGTAGGTGTAATAATAGAAATAATTATTATTATTATAAAAATAATAAACTTAATTAAAGAGGGTAAAACATGTTAAGTGCATACACTTGTGCATACACTTATCTTATACATGGTGTTTGATTTATCTATTACTCCCGCCATCGATGTCTTACATTCCTGTGATTGTGAAGTGTTTTGCTGTACTTGAAGAGACGTACACGCAGTCTTACACGTCTCACGTCTTGTGTTTGAAAGAGCAACACATTTGTGTTTCTGCACTATAGTTATAATGACTTCTTTGTCTACATATACATACAAAAGCTATTTTTCATAATATGAACGCTTTTTATTATATTTTAATGATTCTAATTTTATGCCAGAAAAAACAATGTGCTCAACATAATAGCAAGTATTTTACTCTGTGAATTTGAAAACTTTTTAAAATAGTTATAGGCCTACTTGTAGGTGATATCCAATCCACCATTTCCTGGACACGAGATAAACTATCTGCGCGCGCAGATTGCCCGGATCTCAGCCAGCACCGTCATATCTCCCCAAGGGGTTTACAAGTTTGACGAAGAGGCAGAAGGAGAGGAAGAAGAGGGTGAATGTTCAGTAAAAGATATATTCATCCGCGATGCTTTCTTTTTATCCATTTATTTATTTGTACCTTTTTCATTGTCTTAACTGAAGCTTCAGTTCTTCATATCATTGACCAAACATTTGAATATTGGGCTATGTTAATATAATTTGAATTTACATAATTGGTAATAAATTTCGGTGTTTTAATATGCAAAACGCTTAGCTATTTTAAATATTTTGCAGTCCTGTTCAAGTTTTTTATTCACCACCCGTCTTGTTCAATTCGCCTTTTCTCTTGCAGGTCGCGACTCCTATGTCCCAGACCCAGACTTTGAGGGTCTTACTATGGCCGAGCTAGCGGATCCAGAGATCCGGTATTGGGTCCACCATGTTCCCTATATTCTACCTCAGGTATAACATATTTTTAATGCCTTCCAGGACAAATATTTGCTAAAAAGTGCTAAATCAAATCCAATTATTATTATCAATGTCCCTTATTTTTAGGGTCGGACAAAGTGGTTCAATCCCGTCCACCTGAAACACCAAGAAGAAATGGACGACGGCGAAGAAGAAGACGAAGAAAGAGAGGAAGCAGATGAACCTGAGCCAGAAGTTGGGCCACCCCTGTTGACTCCAATATTGGAAGATGAAGGTATTACTAGACTGTTGTCGTGGTGATAATGGTAAAATATTTTGCCATATGAAACAACATTAGACCGATTCATTCGTGCTGCCTGTCTATGTGTGGCAAAAAGCTGTTGTGTCCCTGATATTGAGGTAGAAGTTTACTGGAAAAGAGAGATGAACAAGGTAGATAAGAGATTATTAAAGATCGTTAATTTTTATTTCTTTATTTCTTATTTCATTTTTGCTTGCTTGATTGAATAAGAGGAAACGAGTTGCCCTGCGTGCCCAGTGGAACCGTATATTTGTCATATACAAGTATAACATGGTTATATTGTAGATATTGACGGTGCCCCGCCCTGGGTGGCTCATTACTCTACCAAACTGGTGCCGGAGTATGCCGTTGCCATCTTGCACTCGTCCTTGTGGCCGGGAGCGCACGCATTTGCTGTGGAACAGGGAAAGTATGTTGGTATTTCAATTTGTGTTTAAGCACAAAGTAAAAGGACGTAGGGTTACTGAATTAACTTGTCAATGACCAATATTTCTTCATTTTTATCTCTTTTATGTATAAATCGTTTCTATTTAGTTGAGGCAATTTAGACTTGATCACCACAGTCTGCAATGCTAGCTCTGGTCATACACCAAAATTTGAAGCCGTATTATAAAATTGTTTGATAATTCGTTCAATACCTGACCACTTTTCCTGCTTTGGCCCAACTGACAGTTAGGCATTGGTCCACGAAGAGCCAAAGGCTTAAAACATTTTGGCACACATTATATCTTTAAGTATGCATTGGAATTTATAAACGGGGAAAATACCATACGTACTGTATATTTCTAAACCGATGGATAACAAAACTGATGCCGGGGACTTTAAAAATAATTAAAATTAAAATGTTTTTCTTTTCTCTCAGGTATTTTGAAAACATTTACATTGGTTGGGGCATGAAATACACGGCCACGCATTTAGAGCCAGTGCTGCCTCCTCTTCCTCAGTTGGAGTTTCCAAGTGGACCGGAAACCACCGAAGACGAAGACCCGACACCTGAAGTCGAGGCTGCGTGGCGGAAGAGGCAACAGGAGTGGGCAAGAAAGATGGAAGAAGAGGCCGAGGCGGCAGAGGAAGAGGAATCAGATGAGGACGATTATTAGCGTTTCTCGAGGCTTCTGTAGATGGTTTTAAATTATAAGATACTATGATTTTCAGTGATATCTTAATTTCTCTCGACTACGAGCAAATACATTGGCAGCTGTGTTTCCATTAAAGAGTAGGCTTTTACTTTTTAAAAAGCCCGAGAATTATAGGCCCTAGCTTCAATTTGTGTTTCGAATCTAAACATTAAGTGACAAATATTATCTTTAGCCTGCTGTTTTAAAGAATAACGCAAATGTTAAATTCAAGTTCATAATAATAAAATAACAAAATAATAATATGAATAATGTAAACAACTTTATTCTTTTTTTAATAAAGTTGTTCAAAAATTGAAATTTAAAAAATTAACAAACGAAGACACTGACATTGCAGTACCCATGTGGAGAAACTTTTCTTTCAAAACACTTTTCCCTTAGTCCCCAGATGCCTCGTCCTTCAGGGCTACATAATCTGGTGAAATGCTGTCTCGGGGCCTGTTTAAAAAGAAACCAGTGGCATATTCATGATTCCAGTGGGAAAGTTTCAAACAAATTCTAAACCATATGTTCATTTCCTAAAAACGTAACCCTATATGTAAACGAAAGTTAAGCTTCAAATTTTCTTTCAGGTAAGATTTTTTCTTATTTTTGCTTTATAAAAGGCAGGTTAATATGCAGTGTGCTATTTTCAATTCTAATGGAACAAGGTAGATGGCAAGCTCAAAAGAACAAACAAGTAAAAAAGTGACGTACCCGGAAAGTAAATCAGCTGCAGTGAAAGGGTGAATAAATCGAATCAGCTGCTGAATCAGTTCGTGGTTGTCTTCATGAACACGGCCGAGCGGGATGAGGCTTTCCTAAAGAAAAAACACACACATGCTAGTCATTCACAACTTTGTATTGCAACTCTGATAGTGGTGTTTTTTTTTTTTTAATCGGACGGGGAACCTCTTTTTGACAAATCATTCTCAATATCTTCCAAGATTCTTAATCAAAACTTTGGACAGGAATTGAGGAATAAACATGTATCACATAGCTTTTAGTAATCGAATGCACAATATTATTTGTAATTTTCATCGTAAATAGGCCAACAAACGTCCGTCGGATTGTTAAATGTTTTACATGTTTTTCAGCTTTAATGATTTTGAAAAGTTGCATCAGAGAAGTGTTGTTGGACTTCAAGGTTTACATAAGTCGAACTAGTTTACTTCGCGCTGTAGTATAGTAACCTTCTGGCCCATTAACAGATACATATCAAGTGATTGCTTAAGATTTGTTTTGACTCGGAATGTCTGAACAACGGATGTGTTCAGATTACAAAGAGATTAAACCCCTTCTGTGCATTTATTTACTATGTAAATCATTTTCTCACCACTGGGTCCACACGCAAGTCTTCCAGCTTTGGATTCTCGGGTTCCTTGTAATTTGCAATGCTGTATCTGGTGGGCATCGTCTCAATTCCTGCAGAGATGGTGAGATTCTCCTGGCCGGACTCATCCAGACTTAAAACAATCATAAAACCAATGTATATGGTTGACCGACAAGCGTACATCTTTTAAGATTTTATTCAAAAATCATGATTAGATATATAATAGGGGCCTATACAGTATATAGAATGCCACAATGATAATGTTACCATGCATACACAAGCTGAAAATTTCCTAACGTTGTTTGCCTATTGTCAACTTGGTCGGACACCTTCATCAGACTGACGTGAGTATATGATACCACATATCTCATAATATTATAAGATATTCTGGTAAATGTTAGCCCTAAGTTGACAATGTGGAAAACTTTTAGCCTGTGTTCAATTTTATTATTGTTGGATCATACTACTAAGCTTATGAACATTTTTGATTATTTATAGAATACGTTTGGCATAAAACAGATCGGATTGAGAGAAAGGAACGATGTGAGTAGATGCTACAGATGCATTCAGAATTGTATAAAAATGATAATGAAATTCACGAACTTGTATTGTAACTGTGACGGTGCCGTTATTCCTCCGGGTGAGAGATCCTCTCTTTGAAAGATTAATCTCATTTTGGTGTCAATATCTTCCACGATTTTCAAATCAAACCTGTACACAGAAATAGAGAAATAACATATGAAGTATATGTATGCAAAATATTATCCTGTCCTCTCATAATACATACAGGTGCGCTTCTCTACTTAAAACTAATTTGAAAGGACACAACCTAGTACAGAAATTTTTAATTTGTAAACCAATTTGGTTTTTAGTCTAAGAGCACATGCAAGTACAGAAATTTCAATCTGTAAATGCTATCTTTAAAATACATTTCTGACCTACCTCATATCCACAATGTTGCCAACGATGGGTACAAAATCTTCGGTCACTGGTCTTGGCCCTAAATCGGGGCATATGACCATGTTGGTGCCCTCACACGGGATGAGCTTCATCGCTTGTATGGATTCGTGAAGTTTGAGGGTCATGATCCTCCCGGTTTCTCTGTGGCGGAAGGAGGTTGTGTAGTCTTGCATACTATCTTCCAGAGGTGTCTCGGTTATTTCAATGAGCAGAGAGACATGGTCGGTAGAGCTGGGATTCAAGACTACAAAACTCTTTCCCTCGACCTTCAGAATCGGGACGACCACACTCAATCCGCTTGTATACTGTTCGGCATTTCCCCCTGTCAAACAAGAAACCACACCATGATCGCATGTTTGTATTTGTAAACGCATGGGCTGTGGAAGAATTTGGACAAGACTGAGTAATAAATAAATGGATTCGATTACAACAATGGTGAAACCAACAGCATTACAACCCCTACAACCAGCCCCTACAACCTGTTCCAATTTTGTAAGCGTATTTTCCAAACTGCACTATTGTATATATCGTTACAACTGCCATCAATATCATTACATGCCGTATAAAGCAGGTTATAAATATGATCAATGTAACATACTTGTGTCAGGCCGGGCGTGAAGTTTCTTCATCCTACAACTGTTTGCGTTGGCAACTGCAGAAACCTGAGGATTGCAACCGTCCCTTTGAAATAAATAGAAGAATATTTTTTCGTTACATTTCAAATATAAAATAAATTTTCATTTGGCACATCATGGAAAAGTATCTTTTGATATGTGAATTATTTTGTCAAAACTTCTATACGTGAACATATACCAGAAGATCTATACATATTATGTTATCAAAAATAACTTACGACGAAAAAATAAAAATAAAAGATAACACAATTCACAAACATGTTTAATCTTCAATTTTTATACGGGTTTTCATTTTGCATTTAGCTAGCTTTTTGGTGCTATATTTTAATTTCGGAGTGATCGAGGGTAGGCCTGAACTGGTGTTTTGGCTGTGAGAAGGCAAAGTCGCTATTTTTTTTTTTTTTATCTTAAAATGATAAAACATATGTAGCACGATAGATGGCGCTTTGTTGTCAAAATGCTCACATGTACTCACCACAAGGCTACTTTACCACGCCCCCAGAGACTTTGTAACAATTTGTTAAAAGTGTCTGACCACGAATCGAAGAAATTCAGCACTGCCAGCACCGTTGCATCATCTGCCAAGTCCCAAGGAGTGACCCCTTCTTCATCCTTTAAAAGGAATGTAAAGGCTGTTGAATGCCCTTCTTGCCATTTTCTGTTCACAATCACTGTTACATTTCAATCTCTAAATAAAGTCATTCCTTAGTTATTATAAGTGTCATTATTCGCTTAATTATAAGTTATAATTGTTCTTTACAAATCTAAAAGCGGATGAAACTACATGTGAAAGAACCCAGTCTTTTTCAGGAGATATATATTTATTTTTCGTATAAAGGCATTTGCCCAGATTACAAATGTAAATGGTTCATATAACGTAACTATTGCGCATGCGGAGAGCTCATGTACGTGCACTATCCGTTGCGAAAAAAGATTCTCTTTTTCTAAAGGCATAATAAACATAATTAATCAGGTTAATCATCAAATCTCTGTCATTGGAAGACACAAGCTGTCTAAACCTTTGGATATTTGGTTGACAGGTGTACCTGTTTGGTATATATTTTGTTCTTAAGTCCCTGTACATCTCACATGTTAACAAAAAGATATTCGTTTTCTATTTCGTCCTTACATAGTGTGCATACCCTCTCGTTCGAGGGTATGTTGTCATATGTACCTTTTTCAATCATAAGATTATGGTTTCCACACCTGAGCCTGGCGAAAGCAGCTAAGTGCGCTTTCGGGAGATTCAACAATAAATAATTTTCTTTTTGAAATACAGATTTAAATGTACAATACAAATTTAATTTAGACGAGTTCTGTAACTGGCCGTTCCATTCTTGAATGTAGCAATCTTTCATTCTTGTCTTAAAAATTTCTAAAAAATATATCTCATTCTCAACACCCTGATTGTACCATACAAACCCAAAACCATATCTAAAAAGTATTTCTTTAATTTTTGTCGCCCATGTAATGCGACCAGCCTGATCTAATCTTATAGCACGCTTTTGGATATCTGCTTTCTTCCATTCTCAGTAATTTAAGCCAGAATTTGACACACCGACTGAAGTAAGTTATAAACAGTGGGAACCTACCACAGTCTCCCAAGACCGCTATTGTTGAAGTTGTTGATCCCACGCCAAGAATCCTTTTACAGAAAGCAAGTTGTACCTTTTCTATATTGTCATACACTTGGTATCCCCAAACTTCTGCACCGTAAAATAAAATTGGCGCTATCATTTTATCAAATATCATAAACGCAATATCAGACCTAACCCTTCCATTGTTATATTCAAGTTTATCAATCATAATCATTGCCTTTCTTGCTTTCAGACTTAAACTAGTGGTGGCTTTTGTCCAAACGAGCCTTGGCGTTATAGTTAGACCCAGATATTTGTAGTGGGTTACAACTTCAACCGGTTGTCCACCAAAGTACCATTTTTCATATTTTCGTAATGGTCCAGAGTGTCTAAAGACCATGATTTTTGTTTTTTTTCAAATTTATATTCAGTCCGAAATTTTCACAGAAATTCTGTAAAATATTTATCTTCTTTTGTAAGCCAAATGCAGTGTCATCACAAATAACCATGTCATCAGCATACAATAGAAGCGAAATGCTGACAATTTCATCAGTAAAAATAGATTGTACATCACTCTCATTTTACCCTCTCTACAAACTCATATAGGAACATATTAAATAAAAATGGACTTATCATACAGCCCTGCCTGGTTCCAACAGTACATTCAAAATATTCTGTAAGTCCCGGGGAT